TACTCTGATTGAAACTCTAGTTTCTCCCACCATTGAGTGAACTCTATAGATTTTTCAGTATTTCACTGAGTTTACACATATTCTGATCATTTTTTGCCTGGCTTCACAGAACTTCATACTACACCTGGGCAGCTCACTCAGCTAAAGGCCAGGGCAGAGTTCTGATCTTCTTTCTCTGATGCCCTGCCCCTGAAATTAGTTGTGTTAGCCTCTCCAAATTCCAAATTTTGTTTTCTCAATTCAGTGAGACTGTCACACTTTGCTCAGCTCCTTCCTCCCACACTGGTCCAGAAAGTGCTCCAAGCAATAAGGCAGCACAATCAGACCTTCTCTTCTCTCAGAAAGCACAGTCCTGCGCTGTCTGAGATCTAAGTGTCTCAGTTCTTGCAGACTGCTATTACAAAACACCATACACTGGGTGTCTTTTAAACAGCAGAACTTTATTGCTCACAGATGTGGAGGCTGGAAGTCCAAGTTCAGGGTGCCAGCACGACACTTCTGGGTCACAGACTTACTATTATAGCCCCACATGGCAGAAGCAGCAGAGATCTCTTTGGAGCCTTTTATTAAGAGCACTAATCCCATTCATAAGGATTCCTCCCTCATGACCTAATCACTGCCTAAAGGCCCTACCTCCTAATACTATCACCATTCAGGGTTAGGATTCAACATAGGAATTTCGGAAGGACATAAACATTCAGACCATAGCACCAATGTTTCAAAAACAGTGATTTCACATGTTTTGTTCATTTTGTTCATTGGTAGAAGTACAATCTGGCCTCTTATTCCATCACAATATGAAGTGAAAAAATGCCCAATCCCACCCTGGCTGGTATGGTTCAATGGTTGAAGCATCAACCCACGCACCCAAGAGTCACAGGTTCAATTCCCAGTCAAGGGCACATACCTGGACTGAAGGTTCCAGCCCTGACCTGGGTGTCAAGGCGCATGTGGGAGGCAACTAATTGATGTGTCTCACATTGAGGTCTCTCTCTCCCTCTCTCCGCCCCTCTTCCCCAGACACCCCCTAACCCCACTCCCGCCTTTCATTCTCTCTAGAAATCAATGGAAAAAATATCCTCACCTCTTGAGTGAGGATTAAAAAAAAAAAAAAAAAAAGTCCAATCCTGTTTGTTTGGAACCAGATGCCCACTAGACCTTGTATTCACTGTGTTTTAGAATTATATTTAAATCTTTTTCTCCCCCCGCGTTAATCCTCTATTTCTGTGAAACCTATTTCTGCATGCTCACTCTCCCATGCAATCATTAGATTTAAATAATCAATTTTCCCTAAAGTTGCCCTAACATTTGATGAAGATGGGATTAAATATATAAATTAATTGAAGGAAATTGATGTCCTCCACAACAGTGACCTTCCCATCTCTCCTATCCCAGTATAAAGTATAGCTCTTTGTTTATTATTCTTCTTTCATGTACTTCAGTATCAATGATTTTCCTCAAACAAGTACCATATATCTTTTATACTTATTCCTCAACATTTTATATTTTTGGTTAATTTTCTAAAAGGGATCTTATTATCCATGATCTTTTATAACTAATTATAGTCCTTACAAAAGTAAGCTAAATATTTTTGTGTTAATTTTGTAGCTGCCAAACTTTTATTGGCTCTAATGAGTTTCCATGGATTCCCTCTGGTTTTCCCAGGTAGCTATTCATATTACCTACAAATAATAATTTGGTCTCCTTTATAATATTTGTATCTTTTTTGTCTGCTTGCAGAAAAATATTAAATAATAATAATGGTACTACCAACTTTAAGGAAAATAATTTAGTACTTCACCATTAAACAGGATTCTGGCTGTTGATTTGTAACAGTTATTTTTTATAATGTTAAGAAAGTATACACCTATACTTATTGTATTAACCCTTTTCGTTCCAACGTGGAGGCTGACTCGACAGACCAGGCGCTAGGAGCAGGTCCAACGTCGAGGCTGAGACACCACAAACCGGTTCAATATTCAATCCTGTCAATTAATTTGGACCAGACTGTTTGAATTCCAAAAATAAAATTGGACCGCAAAGGGTTAAGAGTTTTTATCAGGAGTGGATATAGAATTTCATAAAATCCCATTTCATCAAGTATTTTATTCCTACTAATATATCATATGTCATATTAGTAGAGAGATACAGTAATGGTTTTCTCAATATTGAATTATCCTTGTATATCTAAATCCTATTTGGTAACTGGATTTTTAATATATAATTGCATTTTGTATATTTATTACTATTTTTTATGGTTTTTACATCTACACTTATAAGTTTAATTGTAATTTACTTTTGTGGTATCTTTGTCAGAACAGAATTATCCTCACTTTATAAAATGTACTACTTCTAAAATAAGAAATAAAGTTATAAAAATAAAGCCTAAACATGTATTAATAACTCTCCAAATGCCTACCACTTTTGTTTGGCCAACTACTGACTATTTTTTAAATTTTATTTTTCAATTATAGTTGACATACAATATTATATTAGTTTCAGGTATACAATACAGTACCCACCACTTTTTATACATTTATTTTTTCTTCAGATTTTAGAGTTACAATTATAAAATCTTGAAGGTCATTTTTTCCACCCACCCTATATTTTACAGTATGGATATTATATACTACTATATATTATAGATATATTCCTGAAAAATTGCTTGTAAGATAAAAATGTATCTTTCAGCCCTAGCCAGCTTGGCTCAGTGGATAGAGCATCAGTCTGAAGGGTCCTGTCAAGGGTTCGATTCCAGTTGAGGGCACATGCCCAGGTTATGGGCTCCGTCCCTCTCTCTCTCTCTCCCTCTCCCTTCCTGTCTGAAATCAATAAAAAATATATTTCTAAAAAAATTTTATCTTTCAAATGTCACTATCTCCAAAACTCCCTTTGTAAAATGAGAATATTTTCCAGGTATTAATGGCTTTTCATTCTTCCTGGTATTCTCTTTCCCCAGATGTTTCTATTGCCCAATCCCTTACTTTAGTTAAGTCTAACTAAAATACCACCTCTTCAGAGAAGCCTTCCCTCACCACCCTAATTAAAATATCCTCTACCACCTCTCCATCTCTAGTCCTGATTTATTTCCACAGCCATTCTGAAGTATTTTATCCCTAATGCCTAAAAAATTACTTGACACAGGTAAGTGGTCAGTTAATATTTGTTGAAGAAAACGTTCCCCAAGAATAGTTTACCCCACTCTGGTGTAATACTACTTAATATGCTTGTGACCACCCTGTAAGGCTACCACATAAATCATTAGTCAAAAATACCTTGGGCACTAACCGGTTTGGCTCAGTGGATAGAGTGTCGGCCTGCGGACTCAAGGGTCCCAGGTTCGATTCCGGTCAAGGGCATGTACCTTAGTTATGGGCACATACCCAGTAGGGAGCGTGCAGAAGGCAGCTGATCGATGTTTCTCTCTCATCGATGTTTCTAACTCTCTATCCCTCTCCCTTCCTCTCTGTAAAAAAATCAATAAAATATATTTTTAAAGAAATACCTTGGTAAAATGACTACATTTATCAGATTTTCTCTTTCATATTAGTTCTCTAAACCAAGAACACCTGGGATTCCATGTAAAGGAAGAAAAATATGAGTCTTCCTTATATTTATATGGAAATAAACTATTGTATTCTTTTCCATAGTGACGGTACCCAATCAGCACAAGGTAAATATATTCTGCCTATTGTTGTCGGCATCTCCCTTCATAGGGTTCAATACCAACAGAGAAAAACTGTAATACAAAGAGAAAGCTCTTGAAAAAGCAGCAATAAATGGTTTGGGTGATATGGATAGAAGTCCCCCAGGTCCCTGATCTCTGGTGAATCACACCTGAAAGTGATCCTACAGAAAGTAAATCTTCAAGGAAGAAGTAGACATTGATCACAAGAATAAAGTATGTTCTGTAGCTGTGGCTTCTCTTAATGGACTTTGAACCACTTTTAGATTCCTATACGACAGGAGCATCTGAGTTACCAAGTCCATTGAGAACCAAGGAAAAGTAGTAAGCTTCGCTTTATCTCCTTCCCACTGAATTTGCACATTGCTATCTTGGAAGACTGACAAACACCAAGCAAGACACCAGGCAAGCAAGAAAAAGAACCCAGATTGCAGAACACACAGCCTGATGCCCTACCTCGTTTCTCAGTCATGTCACTATACCACTATGCTGGTACCGGGTACCAATAACAGCAGGATCTTTCACAGACTATAGAGAAAACAGATTTTCTAAATACAGTAAACTCTCCATTTTCCCACCTCATGTCTGACCAAATATTTGTCCATCAGTGTGACAGCATTATTGTATTTTAATTTAGCTCCTTCCCATTGGTGGTAACAGAAGCCAGGCCCTGGAAGTTCATATATTTCTGGTACTATTATTTTCCTATTCCCATCTCTGATTCTTTAATGTCATCAATAACATGAAAATAACCCAAAATGCTAATAATGTAAAACATTCTACATGCCTAAAATTTCAAAACCTATATTTTTCTGATTTACAAATTATCTAAAGTCTTAAATACACACACGTATATATGTATAGGTTATGTATATATACATATATATTAAAATATGATGGATCCTCACACTGAATTAGATATTAAAAAAACAAAAAACAAAGATGTCAACTAAAGGAGATACAAAATTCTAATTTAAGATGAATTTAATTTAGGTACAGTATATACCTATAGACTCTATAATACAAAACAATAAATTTTAAAATCTCTCTGTCAACTAATACTACAGTATTCTCGCTTTCAATTTTTTCCTCCCAGTTCATTCCAACATATGCATGTTCCAACAACTCAGGTGAGTCCAGCAGTACATTCCCTCAACCTTCTATTACCTAAATTATATAAAGACACATGATATGTACATGTACAATTTCAATCATACATTTCTACTCTCAAATACCTGTTTCTCATTAATTTCAAAACTAGTTCACGCACTGAAGTCTATGAGCAAAACAGTAACATAATACATTGGTGCCTAACCTCTTGATTCTCTACTCCACTGCTGGAAAGCTCCAAAACAGAACCTCCTCCACTGTCAACCACAGCTGATGTCATTGTGTATTCCCTGAGGAAGCTTGAAACGCTATTAATCAGTGCAATTAAAGGTTCATGGATGATTGCCAGTGTTATAGGTTTGCATTATCATAGCTTAAAAGTCAATAGAGGAGTGGAGTAGATGTCCAGCAATCCAATCTTCTAAAGATGATTAACCAGAGAGCCTAAAAAGAGGAAGAATTTGAAAAGTTATTAAAAATGTATAGGAAAGATGTAAAGCACAACCTATTTTGCAATCTAATTTTTAACATTTGTATAAACTAAAAGGAGATATGCTTATACAGCCCTGTGTCAAAAGAGGGCAGTAATGAGCATTCTACTTTTTAGCATTGCCAAGTTCACTGAAATTAAGTTCTTACCAAGCTACGGCACGTTCATGACATTATGATATTTATATCCTAAGAGATGAAATGCTATAACTTTCTATCTTTATGAAGATGTTCTTTTATTCCTGAAATATTTTCATAGATATTTAAAAAATCTTTTACGCATTAAAAACATGAAACGTGCTGGACCGAGACAACTTCTAAAATTATTTGCCTATATGACAAATCAAAAGATTTATTGGTCTGTAAATATTTCACTGTTCTTCTTTGGCTCACTTAGTTTATTTATCTGAATAATTAGAAATGTCTTTTGCTATGGCAGCAATCTAATGTTGTGGTCACATTTTGAATACTCTACAAGAGCTATAAAACAGATTATTTTGAATAGCTTATACTTTCAAATAGAGTAGTTTGAAAATAAAGTAGTGAAATCACTTGGAATGCCTTGAACATTACTTTATTATTCTTTCCTCAATAATTTTTTTGCTACTGGTTCAATATGCAATATAGCAAATGGTTTCAAGTAAACATAATTCAGTTTTCCTCAGTAGGGATGAATTTCAATATGTACACCATCTAGATTTATGCATTAGATTATCCCTAAAAAGTTACACTTTATTTGATTTTGTAAATGTAAAATTTTTCATAGAGAAATTACAGAGATTTATTTCTAATAGGATTTTTCATATAAAAATTAAAGAATGCAGAAAAACTAAGTATAAAGAAAAAATACATTTCTAATAAATCATTCCATTAATATTATATCCTCTATTAAGTTTAACTACTGGTACCATGGAAATGTGGTATAAACTATTTCCATAAACTCCTACAAGCAAAATAAATATCTGGGGAGGGGGGCAGAAATTTCACCTCATTACCTAAGACCATTCAGTACTATTAGTCTCCTTTTTTATCTTATCAACAGAAATGGAGGAAGTATTTGTATCTTAATAAAAAAATAAGAAAAATCCACAGCCCCACACACTGAAGCTCACCATTATTGTATAAGGAAATGACTATTTTCAGTTTCAGTTTTCTAAACATCCTAATATATAAAAACCCAGGGTCCATCACATCCACAATGACCAGAGGCTCAACCTAACACCCAGGCTGTGCACCCAGCAGGCTCTGGTGGGTGGGGACTTGTGGCAGCAGAGATGGGGTCGGGGGAGGCGGGGCCGGCACTCACACTCACGCACAGACACACACAGCGACCACCAGCTCACAGCCTTTTCTCCCTTTCTTTCCCTTCCTCCCAGCTCGTGCTCAGAGCCTCTCTCAGAATGAGGAAACAAAACAGACTGGCCTGAAGAGGTCTGGATGGAAGGGAGGGTGGGCAGAGGGTGGAGCGGCCCCCACTGGCCCAGCCCCCTCCCAGCTGGGAAAGAGGAAGAGGAAGACAGGGAGGCAGGGAGGCCTGGGGGACTGCTAAGAAAAACAAAGAGAGACAGAGACTGGGCGAGATCAGGCTGGCAGGGGAGGGCAGTTAGGGGTGATCAGACAGGCAGAGGCAGTTGGGGGAGAGATCAGGCCGGCAGGAGAAAACAGTTGGGGCAAGATTAGGCCAGCAGTCAGAAGCAGCTAGGGGTGATCAGACAGGCAGAGGCAGTTGGGGGCAAGATCAGGCCAGCAGGGGAGAGCAGTTAGGGGCGATCAGGCAAGCAGGCAGAGGCAGTTAGGGGCAATGAGGTAGGCAGGCAGAGGGGTTAAGGGCAATCAATCAGGCAGGCAGGCAGGCAGGTGAGCAGTTAGGAGCCAGCAGTCCCAGATTGCGAGAGGGATGTCTGACTGCCGGTTTAGGTCCGATCCCACAGTCGGACATCCCCCAAGGGGTCCCCAATTGGAGAGGGTGCAGGCTGGGTTGAGGGAAACCCCCACCCCCGTGCACGAATTTTGTGCACCTGGCCACTAGTATAGATAATAATAACATAAATAAATTTTACTTACAATTTGAATGTTAAGTAGTCTAAGCATCCTTCACTATTTTCACAACTTGGCAAGAGCTAAAACATAAACCAGCAGTTCTCTGGAACTAGTAGCGGGGGAAAAAGACAGTATTAATATAACTTTATTGAAAATAGTTACCCAAAATAAGTGTAATTCAGACAGTATGTACTTATTACAAACCATCTCCAAAGTCTAATAATACACATTATATAATACACATAATAATAAATTCTTTCTAGGGTATTGAGAAATCAGGTTTTTATCAAACTTAAAATTGCAAGTCACCACTCAATAACAATTACTAAGTATGGACAGATTCTATGCCCCATATTAAGGCTTATATTTCAAGTGGCTACAGGATATAACCCCTGATCCCCAGGAATATAAAATGAGGTTTTGAAAAACTAACCCAAAAAGCTACTATAAAGCAATGTTGATGATATATTATTGCCTATTAAGTCACCTTCCTCCTGCTCTTTCACCCTCCAAATTTACATTCCAGACATATCCAAACATCCCAACCCTCCTCAAAAGCCCTCCTCCTTTCACAGGCTAATCCACTGACCCATGCCGTGGAGCTCAGCCCTTGCTCCGTCAATTATTTCCTCTTCTTCCCTAACCTTATCTGTTTTAACACTGGGTCCGCTCCCTCAATGTCTAAACATTTACAAGACTCTCTCATCTTAAACATGGAGCAGTCCTTCTCTGCTGGAAAGCTCCAAAACAGAACCTCCTCCACTGTCAACCACAGCTGATGTCATTGTATATTCCCTGAGGAAGCTTGATCCTGCACACTCCTCCAGCTACTGCTTTGGGCCCTTTCTTGGATATTGTTCTAGAAGAAAAGTCTTCTATACTCTGTCTCCACTTCTAATTTCTCAGGTACTCCACCTTCAATGGAAGTTTGTCATCAATTACCACCAACTGAAAGTTTTACGAAATTCTGGTTGTCCAATCCAATGCACACATTTCTGTCTTCATAGGACTTAAGGGCTCTGAAGCATTGACACTGTTGCTCATACCCTCCTTGACACTCTATCCAGAATTTATTTCTCCCTCTCTAGCTCCTCCTTTTCAATTTCCTCTTACAGACTCACCCCTAATTTTCAAGGAACTTGGAGGAAGGCTACAATGGAAATCCATATATCGTATATGTAACTATTTTAAAAGTTATAAATCAAGCTAACAAGCTATTAATTATTATTCTATCTTCCCATACATATTTTTATAAGAATCTAAAAGGCTAAGTTCTGATTTGAACTTCTGAGACTCCCTCAAGTTCTATGGGGGCATGGGAGAACCATACCCTCCCCCCCACACACACACACACACCTGGCCTGCAGCCTGTCTCTTTTTCTCTTCCCAACTTTGGCTCCACTCCATACTACAAGAAGCCACATATACATACATGTAGCATCCCAACCTCTGGCCACATGCCTGCAAACTGCTACCCTTTGGCCATTCCTTAGGCTACAGTCAAGAGAGGAGAGGATCAGAAAAGAGGCCTGTGAAGGGCGACATGGGCAGGGGTTCAAATACTCAGAACTTGACCTAAAAAAGGTACAGATGGACTAGTTCAGTTCTTCCCCAAATCCTAATCTTATCAGGAGGGGCGTAGGCCCAGAGCAGGGCTCCCACTTTGCTAAGTTTAAAGACAGTGCTACTCTCTGATCAACACTAACATGGAGGTATTTCCAGGATCCCATGCCTAGTCCTCTTCTGACTCTACACTCCCAAGCTCCCTCATGTATTGGCATGGCTTCATGACAATCTCTCTTCCAGTCTAAACCATTTCATGGGCTCCAGTTATCTACTAGATACTTTCTTACCTTCACTTCTTTATGAAATGAAATAGGGTATGTAATAAGCTGTACACATCTATTCCAAGATATGAGGCATACCGTTAATTAATCCAGTAAATCAACAAATATTAACTGAGTGTGTGTGTGTACCATTACGACCAAAGCAACCATTTCAACCGAACGACCAGAACAACCAGTTGACCAGTGGCTATAACACACACTGACCACCAGGGGGCAGACTGCCAACCTCCCCCCGTCCTACCCCCCTGGCTGGCAAACCTCCTGTGATCCCTCCCCCCGTCTGGCAGGCCCTGGCTAACAGCCAGCAGGCCCCGGCCAGCCCAGCCCCAATCAGGACTGGGCAAGATGGCTCCGATAGGCCCTGATTGCCAGCCAGGCCTAGGGACCCTAATCATGCACGAATTTCATGCACCGGGCTTCTAGTCTATTATATGCTAGCACAGTGTTGGATGCTAGAGATACAGCAATGAATAAAGCAAAAGTCCTTGTCCTTATGAATCTTAAATTCCGGTGGGGGAAGATGAAAATAAACAAAATAACCCAGTCAGTGTAGCTCAGTGGTTGAGTGTCGACCCATGAACCAGGAGGTTGAAGTTCAATTCTGAGTGAGGGCACAGGTCCCAGTTGCAGGCTAAATCCCCAGTAGGGGGTGTGCAGGAGGCAGCAGATCAATGATTCTCTCTCATCATTGATGCTTCTATCTCTCTCTCCCTCCCCCTTCCTCTCTGAAAGCAATAATATACATATATATAAAATAAAAATAAACAAAATATGAATAGCACATATGTAGATGCGTGATGAAAGCTAAGGAGACAAATGAACCAAAGGGAGAAAATATTTGACAGGGAAGAGGATTGCAATTTCAAATTGAATGGTCAGAGAAAGATTCACTAAAGAACTGACGTATGACTAAAGACCCAAAAGGAGTAAGCTATGACTGGGGAAAGAGCCTTCTTCAAAGGAAAGATGAACTTCAAGATCTGCAACAGGGAGTACACCTGACTAGTTCAAGGATCAGCAAGGAGGCAAATATGGCTACAGTGAAGTGAGCAAAAGGGAGAAAGAACAGAAGATGACAACAGAAAGTAAGGGCCATAAAGGCCTTCTGTAAGGACTCCAGGAGAAGGATGACCTGATTATTAAAAGGATCATTCAGATGCCGGGCTAAGAACAGACAGGGGGCAAGGGCAGAAGCAGGGAGATCAGTTAGAAAGCTACTGTAATAATTGGGTAAGAAATGAGTGGCTAGGACAAGTGGTAGGGTTTGGAGAGACTAAAAAGTGGTCAACTTTTAGATATATTTTGAAAGTAAAATGGAAAGATTTGCTAGCAAATGGGATGTGGGTTGTGAAAGAGTGAAGAATGAATCCAAAGATGCATCACAGCACCATTAAATGGTATTGGAGAAAAGTGTGGGAGGAGAATATGTCCCAAACTAAACTCTTTTTTTTTTCTTGGCTACCTTCCCAAAAATATTACCTCTCCTATTGTGCTCAGCTCAGTAAGTTACCCCAACACTCACACAAGTTGCCTACAAAACAGATCCATGACTCCTTTCTCCATCAATACCATCATACTCTTACTCTTGACCCCTTCTCTATCATCTCATATCCTCTACCCTTGTTGAGGCCCTCTTTATCACTTCTCTATATTGCTGTAAGAGCCTCAGAATTTGTCTCTTAGCCCCTAATCTTGCCCCCTTCCAGCCCATCTACTGCAATATCAGGATAGTCTGAGATAGAATAATGTCAGGCCCCTCTCAAGTCTTCAGTAGTTCCTCAACACCTGCACGATGAAGTCCCAAACCCTTCGCAAATCTTGAAAAGCAAGAAGTCTAGGTCTATTTTCAGAAGTTATGAAATGTTCATTCTGATATGTTCAGGTATGTAAATCATGCATCCAATCCACGCTCACTTGTCCAGTCTCACCTTCCTTTACTTCATCTAACTTCATACCACAGTTGTTTGTAGTTTCCTATATTCTTCTCTCCTGTCTTGAACATCCCTCCCCTGCTAACCACTGGACCAATTCCTGTCTTACAGGTCTCAGTTCTAATGCAACTTCATCCCCTCAGAGCTCAATTATAATTTTCTACAATTCTCTTCCCCCCATCACATTACAGGCAGTCCTCGGGTTACATCGGACTCAACATACGTCGTTTTGTGGTTACATCTCCATCTCCCATTTATTTACCAAAAAAAAAGTTCCGTCATTTCGATGTATGTACATATGTGCTTTATGTTTTTTATAATTTATTTACCACAAGTAAAGGTCAGGAATTGTTATCTTTCTTTTAAATTTTTTAATGTTCACTTCATTTCTTCTGTGTATGTGCTCCATGTGAGTGACGTAGGTGCTTATGTAGGGGGGTTCTGACTTACGGCGAAAATCACGTTACTTCGCGCCGTAAGAAGAGATCTCTGACGTAACCGAGGACCTGCTGTATATACCTCCCTGACTCAAAACATCTGGAAAATAATAGCCTCCAGCAGATCACTCACTTGCCCAGTCCTATCAACCATACCAGGCCAAACATCTATGTCTTCCCTTCAGTGTTCTTTAAAACCCTGCTCCTTTTTAACTCCTTAATCTACTCCCTACTAAATTCCCAAAGCACCAAGTTTTATAAATCAGTGTATCCAGGTTTGTTAGATCTGTGGTTTTACTACCTAAATTAGTATCTTTCATAGAGAAGGTACACAGTCAAGATGTGATGAAAATAAGAATAGGCAAACATGCTCCAATCAGACAAGTACCTCCACTGTTCATTGTACACACCACCATGCTCATTCACATCTCCATCCCTCTCCTGCCACCAGGAATGTCCTCTTCATTTATTCAAATTCCACTTGTCCTCCAAAGACAGTTTTTTCTCCTACAATGACATCACCTCTTTCCTATCTCTTACTATACCAGTTCTTCCAATAATATTTATTGAATACTTACCATATGCTAAGCAGCACTATGTCAGAAACACAAAAATGAAGTAAAAACTCAGCCTTTAAACAGTGTAGAGCAGTGATGGCGAACCTATGACACGTGTGTCAGAGGTGACATACGAACTCATTTTTTTGGTTGATTTTTGTTAAATGGCATTTAAATATATAAAATAAATATCAAAAATATACATCTTTGTTTTACTATGGTTGCAAATATCAAAAAATTTCTATATGTGACACGGCACCAGAGTTAAGTTAGGGTTTTTCAAAATGCTGACACGCCGAGCTCAAAAGGTTCGCCATCACTGGTTTAGAGTCTAATAAGGAGAAACACAGAATTACAGTGTCAATGCCATAAAGGAAACTACAAAGTACAGTGGGGACATAAAAAAGGAACACCCAAGTTGGCTTTGGAGGGTTCTAGAGAGACTTCAGAAAGGAGCCACCATTAGGTCTAGAACTTAGAAGAAGGGGTGAAGACTGGCATGGCAATAATAAGAGAAACAACTTTGAATAATGAATACTAAGTGAATTAATCAGGACGGAAGAAAAACTCTGTGTGAAAAGATAGCAAATCTAAGTAGCACCCAGAAGTAAATTCTGCTTGTACTATAATTTAGTTGCCCTAGAGTACAGACCACATTCTCATCAAAAAGTTTGTGTGTACATAAAGTGCAAAAACAAGGAACACTCAATCTATGATATTAGAAATAGGATGCTACATCACAAAGGACTAATATTACTAATATATAAAGAACGCGTGGAAGAGAGGAATAAAGAACCAAAAACGTCAAGGAAAATATACAGGTCACAAAAAACATATAAAACGGGCCCTTAACATATGAAAAATTCAAATTCACTCATAGAAAATACAAATTTTCAAAAAAGATATATCATTTCTCTCATCTATCAGACTGGTGAAAATTAAAATGTATGACACCATATTCTGTTGGCAAAGTTGTGCAATTTTATACATTGGTGCTGGGAAGACAAGTTAATACAACACTTTGAAAGTGAAATTTGGCAATGTCTAACAAAACTGCATATGCATTTACCATTTTTAAAACAGCTTTATTGAGATATAATTAACATATTTACCCACTTAAAGTATATAATTCAATGGTTTTGGGGGTTTTTTTTAATATATTTTATTGATTTTTTACAGAGAGGAAGAGAGAGAGATAGTCAGAAACATCGATGAGAGAGAAACATCGATCAGCTGCCTCCTGCACATCCCCCACTGGGGAAGTGCCCGCAACCCAGGTACATGCCCCTGACCAGGATCGAACCCGGGACCTTTCAGTCCGCAGGCCGATGCTCTATCCACCGAGCCAAACCGGTTTCGGCATCAATGGTTTTTATTTACTTTTTATTTTTTAATTGATTTGAGAGAGAGGAAGGGAGAGAGCAAAACATTGATGTGAGACAGAAACATTGATTGGCTGCCTTCCACACGTGCCCTTACAAGGTATTAAACCTGAAACCTGAGTATGTGTCCGACTGAGAATCAAACCCACCACCTTTTAGTGTGCGGGACAATGCTCCAACCCAGGGTTCCTCAAACTACGGCCCGCAGGCCACATGCAAATACAAATATTGTATTTGTTCCCGTTTTGTTTATTTACTTCAAAATAAGATATGTGCAGTGTACATAGGAATTTGTTCATAGCTTTTTTTTTAAACTATAGTCCGGCCCTCCAACGGTCTGAGGGACAGTGAACTGGCCCCGTTTAAAAAGTTTGAGGACCCCTGCTCCAACCAATTGAGCCATACCGGCCAGGGCTCAATGGTCTTTAGTATATTCACAAAGTTGTATGATATCCCCACAATTTGTTCTAATTTTAGAACATTTTCAGCACTCCTCCCCAATCCCATGTCCATTAGCAGTCACTCCCTATCATTCCCCAATCCCCAATCCCTGGCAACCACTAAACTACTTTCTATATCTAGAGACTTGCTTGTCTATTTCATATAAATAGAATAATATGTGGGATTGTCAAGGGCGGGGGGGAAAAAAAGGACACATATGTAATACCCTTTGTAATACTTTAAGCAATAAAGAAAAACAACTTATGTCCATATAAAAAAATATATATATATTATATAATATGTGATCTTTGCTGACTGGCTTCTTTCACTTAATGTTTTCAATATTCATCTATGTGTAATACGCATTAGTATTTTCTTTTTATTGTTTTTCAGAAAAAAATGTTGGCCTGAAATTCTGCATTAGCAAGAAATTATTAAAAAAAAAAAAAAGAAAGAAATTATTCTTAGGCATAGGCCTTATTCAAATTTACCCATGTAAAAGAACTACCTAGAACCAAAATATAAACTTTTTATAGTGCTAAATAAAAAGGCCCCCTGTAAAAGCAGCTAGGAGGAAAAGTGCACTTAGACTCCCATTAAACTATTTACACAAGATCATCTCCTTTTACCTAATTAAGTCCAAGGTTTACAGCTTCTTCCATAGGACTAGAACATGGGCATGAATGGGCCTGTAGAACATGTAATAAACAAATGCATGCTTATTTTTATTTGAAGGATTAGAGTCCCTGTACCTGGAACTCTAATCACCAGGCAAAGGGAACTAAAGTTCTTGCACAGACGTTAAAAACACAAATCTTCAGCCTCAGCAGGGCCGGATCTTTTGTCTTGAAGAGGTATGTCAGAGGTCATTGTACTCATGGCTAGAATAAGGATACACAGCAGGTCATAAAGGAAAAAGACATAGGTGGAGTCTGGAGGACTCAATCTGCAAGCTTCCTATGCTCTCTCCTCCCCCAGAGAGGTCAGGCAGAGCTTACTCCTCTCCCCCAGCAACAAAAATGCACCAATGTGCACGCAATGTTTCTGCCCAGGCATGCCCATCAGAGACTCAGCGCCCAAGCCTTCACTGCAGGCAGGTCACAGGGGCACCCTCTGCCTTGTGTGCACCAATACTACAGACCCCCAGAAGAAAAGCAGGTGTTCAACATAAACCGTATTGTGTGCACAAACAGTCTAGGCACAGTTACTGGGAACACCCTGAAAGCCAAGTTCCCAGATGCCAGCCAAGGGCCAACCTTGCAAACAGGCCTTTCTGAGGACAGCAGTTTCAAACTTGCTATGTTAACTATTTTCTAAAGGGCAAGTTATTTAACTTCTTGAGATCTCAGAAACATAATGGTCTGAAATGAAGAGGACATGGACACCATCTTTCCCACATATAATATATGGGAGGCTTAAAATGCTTTATCATTATAGAGTGATATCATGATTGAGTTTAAGTGCTTACTAGTAGATATGACATAGTAAGAACATCATCTCAATATCCAAATATTATGTAAAGATTCATAAAGGCAGACTTCCTGGAACATTCTCAACTCATCCAGATTATGAAATAAAATATAAAAAATGAACTGGCTCTGAAAGTTTACTTAAGCACACCACTAGAGAATAAAAATGTAAGATGAAAACATTCAGCCCTGGCTGGTTTGGCTCAGTAGATAGAGCATCGGCCTGTGGACTGAAGGGTCACGAGTTTGATTTTGGTCAAAGGCACATGCCGGGTTTGCAGCTCGATCCCTAGTAGGAGGCATGCAGGAAGCAGCCGATAAATGATTCTCTCTCATCATGGATGTTTCTATCTCTCTCCCCTTCTCAGTTCCTCTCTGAAATCAATAATATATATTTTTAAAAAATTTTTCACTAATCTGTTCTAAAATGAATACACTTTCTAGGTCTTACTAATTATAATCTAAAATTAAATTTAAATAATCACGAAATTTAGCGTTTAAAGTATTATATGTTTAACATAGATTTGAGTTGTTTTCTTTCTTTATTAAGGTATTACATATGTATCCTTATCTCCCCATTGACCGCCCTCTCCCCCGTCATGCCCTCACCCTAGAATTGAGTTTTATAAGAAAAACTTTTAAAAATATTTTTTTTTTATTGATTTCAGAGGGGGAGAGGGAGAGATAAAAAACATCAGTGGTGAGCGAGAATCATTGATCAGCTGCCTCCTGCACACCCTCTACTGGGGATTGAGCCTGCAACCCGGGCATATGCCCTGACCAGGAATTGACCCATGACCTCCTGGTTCATAGATCGACACTCAACCACTAAGCCATGCCCGCTGAGCAGAAAAACCTACTTTTTTTATTCATGGATCTAAACTGCATCACTGTAAGGTTATAAATATAATTACTCAAAATATGATCAGTTTACTCATGAAAATACTAGAACTTTGGCCTTCAAGTATAGGTAAGAACCCAGAAGATTCTGAGTTTTAATACTAATTCTACAATCACTATACTATTTGCTTGTTATACTCCCAATACATGAATGTGACCTTTTTCTTAAATCATTTATAAAGCTTAGCCCTACAATCAACCTACTGAAATGCTCCTCTAAGTTTCCTCATTTTCATCGATTATGGCTGAGTAGAAAGAAGCCTATAGAACTATAAATTACCAGATTAGAGAAGTTTTTTGGTTTTGTTCTTTGGACACATTTATAGTCCAATAAAGCAAATTAACATATGCTAATTTAGAACCCAAAATAGATTCGCTTTTGGTTAGGAATCTTTTTTCATGATTTTTTTTAAGACAGAGAAAGGGAGGGAGGGAAGAAAGGGAGGGAGGGGGAAGTGGGAGAGAGATATAAACATCTTATATATGCATTCATTGGTCTATGTGTTCCAACTGGGAATTTAACCCGCAACCTTGGCATATCGGGACAAGACTCTAACCAACTGAGCTAACCCAGCCAGGGCAGCTTTACACTACTTTATGTTTTAAAAAATATGTTTTTATTGATTTCAGAGGGAGGAAGGGAGAGGGAGAGAGAGAAACATCAATGATGAGAGAATCACTGACTGGTTGCCTCCCCCAAGCACCCTGATGGGGGATGGGGATTGGACCTGCAACCGAGATACGTGCCCTGGGCTGGGAATCAAACCCGAGACCCTTGGGTCCATGTGCTGATGCTCTAACACTGAGGCCCATATAATATTTTTGAACCACAGTGAACCTTGGGTAGCTGAAACCATAGAAAACAAAACCTTAGATAAGGGGGAGATTATTGGACATGCTCATTGCAAATCTTTCTAATCTTTCCATCCCACCAACACAAAGTAGAATATAAGCTCCACTAGAGCTGCCTCATAGCTATTTTAATCACCATTGTATATAGATAGACCTCTCAAACAGTGTCTGGCACATACTAGACAACAATGTTAACCCCTAGCTCAACTTCTTCTTGTTCCTGGTTTCTTCTTCTATTTTATCATCTCTAATATATATAGGCATACCTCAGAGATATTGTGGGCTTGGTTCCAGACAACAGCAACAAGTCAGATAACACAATAAAGCCAGTTCTAATCTTTTTGCTGATGCTGGGTCTTGCCACCGATTTGTAAAAAGCACAGCACTCTGGAGTGCAATAAAACGAAGTATGCCTGGCCTTGCCAGTGTGGCTCAGTGGATTGAGTATCACTGGTCCCTGGTTCAATTCCCAGTCAGGGCACATGCCCGGGTTGCAGGCTCGATCCCAAGTGTGGGGTGTGCGGGAGGCAGCTGATCAACCTCTCTCACATCAATGTTTCTCTCTCTCTCTCCAACCCCCCCCCCCAAAAAGACTCTATTCCACACTGTCTAATCTGAAGTAATTTAAAGTTATAATTTTATGTTAATGAGTTAGCCAAATAAAAATAACCGTGACAGTTTGTACTAGTGAAATAATAAAAGATGTTTATATACCAAGTTATTTAGAAAGTCAGTCATGATACAACTACATGAAGTTTTCTGTGTATTTTAGGCGTAATTATAGTTAAAGTATAGTTTTATAATACTAATATAAATTGGTTGAAGTTAACACAAGAACATTTACCACTGCTATAATTGTATTACAAATTTAAAGTTTTATACATATTGGTATTTTATTTTATTCTCAGAGAGTTAAATTTCAAGGAAGAAGTTATTTTCCCTGATATTCTTTATGAAGCTAAAATTATTTATTTTTAAAACCCTACATCTATTTACTCACACTCAGAAACTGTTAAAGAAAAAAAAATGAATACTGAGCTGTAAATAAACTTTTAGTCAAGAATCAAGGTCACTGCTATGTTTTTCCAGTGGATTCCCACCACACTTAGAAAAAAAATCTAAATTCTTTTATATAAAGATCAATCAGAGCTAGCCCACCCAATGTCTCTGACCTCATCCATCCCTCATCGCTCCTTCACTGGCTCCCTGAGCTCCAGCCACACTGGCTCTATTCCTGCAACACACGAAGTTTATTCTAAACCTCCTGTTCTCTAAGATACAAGGCTCTTCCAGATCATCAACAGACAGAACCCTCCTTACCCATCATGCAGATATCACTTCAAATACCACTCCTGCAGGAGACATTTCCCTCTTGGCTCCCCTTCCCAAACTGATACTCCATTTTCATGTAGCTGCCCTATCATTCTCTACTTGATATCACATTACCCTATTTCATTTCTTCATTATATTTTCAGACTAAAATTACCTTATTTGTTTATATGTTGTTTTTTTAAAAAATAATTTTTATTAATTTTTAGAGAGAAAGGAAGCAAGAGAGAGAGAGAGAGAGAACAATATCAATATGAAAGTGAACATCGATCAGCTGCCTCCACACTTCCCCCAATTGGGGATGGAGCCCAAAACTCGGGCTTGCGCCCTGACGGAAATCAGTTTAATGTCTATCTCCTTAACAGGTACTACATTATCTTGTTTACTGCAGTCTTTCAAGAACCTAAAATGAATGAATACTATACTATTATATGTGGAGACTGATATGAAAATTTTGATATTTTCTAATGGATTATATTGCTCTCTTAGGCAATATAAATATATTTGCAAATATAAAATAGTTTAAATATTTTTTCTTCTCTTAACTGCTTTAAAAGACATACACCTATAAAAAATTATAAAACTGTATTGTTGGCCTTTTAATATATACAAATTTAACATATATGACAATACTAACAACAGACAGGAGAGGGGAGAAAATAAAGCAAAGTTTCTATATTTTACCATAGTTAAATTAGTCAATTAGGTTATGATAAAATAAGATCCATATTGCGCCCTGGCCAGATGGCTCAGTTGGTTGGAGGGTCCTCCCATACACCAGAAGACTGTGGGTTCAATTCTTGGTCAAGCCACACATCTCAGTTCCAGGTTCTGTCCCCAGAACATATGGGAGGCAACCAATCGATGTTTCTCTCTCACATTGATGTTTCTCCTCTCTCTCTTTCTCCCTCCCTCCCTTCCCTTCCTTTTTCTCTAAAAAATATATATATATATATATATATATCAATAAAACATGTCCTTGGGGTGAGGATTTAAAAAACATTTTTAAAGATACATATTGTAATTCCTAGAGCAACCTAAGATAGTAACTCCAAAAATCTAGTTAAAAAACAAAGAAATGCAAAACCCTGGAAAATATCTATTAACTCTAGAAGGAGCAGCAGAAAATGAACAAAGAAATAAAAATAGAAATGAGACATATGGAAAATAACTAGCAAAACTGAAGACATGATTACAGTAAATATAAACAGACTAAACCCTCCAATCAAAAGGGAGATATGGTCAGACTTTTTTTAGAAAGTATTTTATCTACATGTGGCCTATAAGTATGTTTTTTTAAAAAATATATTTTTATTGATTTCAAAGAGGAAAGGAGAGAGAGAGAGAGAGAAAAATCGATGATGAGAGACAATCATTGATTGGCTGCCTCCTGCAAGCCCCACATTGGGGATCGAGCCTGCAACCCAGGCATGTGCCCTGACCTGGAATCAAACCCTGACCTCCTGGTTCATAGGTTGAGACTCAACCACTGAGCCACGCCGGCCAGGCAAGACACATTTTAAATTAAAAACAAAAACAAAAACACAAATAGGTTGAAAGTAAAAGAAAAGAAAAAGATATGCAATGCAAACAGTAAGCATAAGAGAGCTACAGTGGCTACACTTATAACAGACAAAATAGACAAATAGGGATCTTTCATAATGATGAAAAGACCAATTTATCCATAAGATTAATTATACATGTATACCATACTAATTACTAGTACCCCAAAAGCAGGAAGCAAAAATTGAGAGAACAAAAAGGAAAAATAGATACCTCAATAATATTTTAATATCCCACTCTCAGTAATTGATAGAACCGCCAGACAGAAAATCAGCACACACATAGGCGGCCTGAAAACTATCAACCAACTTGACCGAACACCTACAGAACATTCAGACCAACAACAGCAAAATATATATTCTTTTTCAGCACAGATGGGACACTCCTCAAAACAGATTACATACTAAGACATAAAAATGTCTCAATAAATTAAAAATGAAGAAAATCATACAGAGCATGTTTTCCTACTACAGGGGAATTAAAAATCAACAACAGCCGAAACCGGTTTGGCTCAGTGGATAGAGCGTCGGCCTGCGGACTGAGGGGTCCCGGGTTCGATTCCGGTCAGGGGCATGTGCTTGGGTTGCGGGCACATCCCCAGTGGGGGATGTGCAGGAGGCAGCTGGTCGATGTTTCTGACTCTCTGTCTCTCTCCTTTCCTCTCTGTAAAAGGTCAATAAAATATATTTAAAAAAAAAAAAAAATCAACAACAATGAAATCTGGGGAATCCCTAAATAATTGGAAATTAAACCATACATTTCTAAATAACCTATGAGTCAAAGAAATAATCACAAAGGAATATATTTAGAACTTAATGAGAATGTTAAAAAGCAGAACATATAAAAATGTATGAGGTGCAGCTAACAGTGTTTGGAGGAAAATTTATAGATTTAAATGCCTAGGTAAGAAAAGACAATCTCAAATCAATAACCTAAGCTTCTACCTTAAGAAACTAAAAAAATGCAAACTAAAGCCAAAGCAAGCAGAAGGAATAATATTATAAAGATTAAAATGGAAATCACTGAAAGAGAAAACAGAAAAACTGGAAAAAATCAATTAAACCAAAACATGTTTCTTTGAAAAGAATAACAATATTGACAAACCTTTAGTTAAAATGACCAAGTAAAAATTAGAAAAGATAGATGCTATCAATTTTACAAATGAAAGAAGGACATCACTACCTATACTGGCAATATTAAAAACATATATAGGAACATATTATGAACTATATGTCAAATTAAATAGCTTAGGTGAAATGGACAAATTCATAGAAACACAATTACTGAAACTAAAAAAGTAGCAGAAAATATGAATAGACCTATAACAAGTAAAGAAATTAGTATTTTTAAATTTTCACAAAGAGAAAAAAAAAGGTCAGATGCTTTCACCAATATATTTGGTGAGTTTTACCAAATATATTCAAGGACATAATACCAATCCTTCAGGAACTTTTACAGAGAAAGTAGAGTGAACACTTCTCAATTCATTCAATGAGGTTAGTATTACTCTTACGAAACCAAAGACATCACAAGAAAACTTCAGACCAGTAGGTCTCATAAATATAGCCACAAAAATGTTTCACTAAACATTAGCAAACTAAATCAAGCAACATTTAAGATTATACACCACAACCAAGTGAGATTTATCTCGGGAATATAAGGCTGGTTTATTATCTCAAAATCAATTAATATAATACACCATATTAATGTGATAAAAGGCAGAAACCACATAATCATCTCAGATACTAGTGTGACCAACCATACTGGTTTGTCTAGAACTGAGGGTTTTCCCAAGACACAGAGCTTTCAGTGCTTAAAACAGGAAAGTCCTGGGCAATCTGTGACCGTCACAGACGCAGATAAAGCATCTGACAAAGTCCAGTGCCCGTGCGTGATAAAAACTCTGAACAGCCGAAACCGGTTTGGCTCAGTGGATAGAGCGTCGGCCTGCGGACTGAAAGGTCCCAGGTTCGATTCCGGTCAAGGGCATGTACCTGGGTTGCGGGCACATCTTCAGTAGGAGATGTGCAGGAGGCAGCTGATCGATGTTTCTCTCTCATCGATGTTTCTAACTCTCTCTCTCTCTCCCTTCCTCTCTGTAAAAAATCAATAAAATATATTTAAAAAAAAAAAAAACTCTGAACAAACCAGGATTAAAAAGCAACCCTCTGCTAAACACAGAGATATGCTATAAAAAATGCTGTGCCTATACTTAACAATACTATAGTGTACACTTAAAAAGAGGGTAGATCTCATGTTGTGTTCTTACCCCAATAAAATATATTTTACGTACAAAGTTTGTACACTCAAAACTACAAAACATCAGAGAAAAATTAAAGATCAGTAAGTGAAAAGAGCCCTAGCCGGTTTGGCTCAGTGGATAGAGCCTGCGGACTGAAGGGTCACAGCTTCGATTCTGGTCAAGGGCACGTGCCCAAGTTGCAGGCTCAATTCCGCATGCAGGAGGGGACATGCAAGAGGCAGCCGATCAATTATTTTCTCTCATCATGGATGTTTCTATCTCTCTCTCCCTCTCCCTTCCTCTCTGAGATCAATAAAATATATATATTAAATAAATAATAATAAATAAATGAAAAGAAATTTCCATGCCCATGTAATAGAAAACCCAATGTTGTAAGGTGACAATTTTCCCCCGAACTGCATTCCCCATCAAAATTCCAAGACTTTTTTTTCAGACATTGACAGGCCAATCCTTTTTATACGGGACCCAGGACAGCCACACGTTTTAAAAACAAGAACAAAACTGGAGGGCTAACAATACCTGGTCTCATCAGTTACCATAAAGCACATGAACCAAGACCGAACAGGACTGGCCTAAGAACAAACATATAGATAATGGAAAATAATTGAGAGTGCAGAAATAAACCTTTACATTTGCAATCAATGGAGAAATGACAGTCTTTTCAACAAATGGTGCTGAGACAACCCATACGCAACTGAATTTAGACCCATTTATTTCACATCATACATAAAAATGAACTCAAGCCTGGCTGGTGTGGCTCAGCGGTTGAGGGTAGACCCAGGAACCAAGAGGTCACCAGTTTCATTCCCAGTCAGGGCACATGCCCTGGTTGCGGGATCAATCCCCAGTGGGGGCCATGCAATGACAGCCAATTGATGACTTCCTCTCTCATCAGTGTTTCTATCTCTCTATTCCTCTCCCTTCCTCTCTCTCTAAAAATCAATAAAAATATATTTTTTTAAAATGAACTCAAAATAGATCATAAATCTAAATATCAGAGCAAAAACTATAAAACATCTAGAAGAAAACAAAAGAGAAAATCCTCAAGACTTGAATTAGGCAGAGAGTTCTTATAACAACAAAAAATTAATCTATAAAATAAAAAATCGGAAAATTAAATTCCATCAAAATTTAAACTTTTTTTTTTTTTTTTACAGAGAGGAAGGGAGAGGAATAGAGAATCAGAAACACCGACGAGAGAGAAACATCGGTCAGCTGCCTCCTGCACACCCCCTACCGGGGATGTACCAGCAACCAAGGTACATGCCCTTGACCAGAATCGAACCTGGGACCCTTTAGTCCACAGGCCAACGCTCTATCCACTGAGCCAAACCGGTAAAATTTAAACTTTTGACAAAAGAAATTAAAACTTTTGTGCTTCAAAAGATTCCAATAAAAAAAGTTGAAAAGACAAGCCACTCACTGAGATAAAATATTTGCAAATCATGTATCCAATAAAGAACTTGCAACCAGAATATACAGATTGTTATAACTCAATAATAAAAAGATAAACAAAAACTACACAAAAGTTTTGAGTATTTCACCAAATAGGATATATAGAAATGGCTAATAATCATATGAAAAAATGCTCAATACCCTGAGTCTTTAGGAAAATGCAAGTTAAAACCACCACAATGAGTTAACCACTTCATACCCACTAGAATGGCTATAATAAAAATGGCAATAACAAATGTTGCCAAGAATGTGAAGAAGCTGGAACTCTCAAACACTGCTGTAAGGAATGTAAAATGTACGGCCACTTTAGAAAACAGGTTGGCATTTTTTAAAAAAGTTAAACAGATGACCCAGCATTTCTATTCCTAGGTTATCTACCCAAGAGAATGAAACCATATGTCCACATAAAGACTTGTACTCAAATGTTCAAGCAGCATTATTTGCAACAGTCAAAAAACTGGAAACTGCCTAGCTGTTTGGTCAGTGGTTGAGCATTGCGCATATGAACCAGGAGGTCACAGTTCCAATTCCTGGTCAGGGCACATGTCCAGGTTTCGGGCTCCATTCCCAGTAGGGGGCATGCAGGACGCAGCCAATCCATGTGTCTCTCCCATTGATGTTTCTATTCCCCCTCTCCCTCTCCCTTCCTCTCTGAAATCAATAAAAATATATTTAAAAAAAAAAAAAAACATAAAACTAGAAACAGCCCTGGCCGGTGTGGCTCAGTTAGTTGGGCCTTGTCCCATGCATTGAGGCAGCGGTCGCCAACCTTTCGGACCTCATGGACGACCAGTGGTCCGCGGACCACGGTTTGGCAACCACTGCTCCAAAGGTTTCCTTAAATCAGCGGTCGCCAACCTTTTGGACTTCAGGGACCACCAGTTGGCGACCGCTGCACTAAGGGATTGCTGATTCAATTCCCTGCAGAGGCACAAGCCCAGGCTTCTGACTCAATTTCCTGTAGGGAGCGTGCTGTTTCTCCCTCTCACTCTCACTCTCTCTAAAAATCAATTTAAAAATCTATAAAAAGGTCCTAACTGGTTTGGCTCAGTGGATAGAGTATCAGCCTGTGGACTGAAAGGTCCCGGGTTCGATTCCGTTTTGATTCCGCTCAAGGGCACATGCCCGGGTTGTGGGCTCGATCCCCAGTAGGGGGGCATGCAGGAGGCTGCTGATCAATGATTCTCATCATTAATGTTTCTATCTCTCTCTCCCCCTTCCTCTCTGAAATCAATAAAAACATTTTTTTAAATCTTTAAAAAGAAAATAAAAAGACCTAGAAACAATTTAAATGCCCATCAACTGGTCAACAGATAAACAAAATGTTGTCTATTCATACAATAGAATATTCAGCGATAAAAAGAAAAAAATACATATACATGCTACAATAAAGATTAATTCCAAAAACAGTATAAGTGAAAGAAGCCATATGTAAAAGACTGTATATGTTATGATTCCATTTATATAAAACTAGTGGTCTGGTGCATGGATTCGTGCACACTGAAAGGAAAATAATTAGAAGAAATATTTTAATATTGCTATTTGCCCTTTCTCCCTTAGCGCCTGGGAGCCAGGCAGTGGCCCCACCCTCCGCTGCCACTGCCGCTGGGCAATCGGTGGGGCTATGATTGGCCCCACTCACACCTGCCTTAGCCTGGCGCCGCCCGCTCACCTGCTCCACCATACCATCAGTCCACTTTAGTTGGGGCCCATGGGGGCCAGCAGCACCTCCACTGCCGCCCGCTGCCAGCGCCATGTTGCCAACACCCACCATGTTCCACACCGCCCCCTGATGGTCAGTGCACGTTATAGCGAGCAGTTGAACCCCCAGTCAAGGGGACAATTTACATATTAGGCTTTTATTATAGAGGATATTCAGAAAAGGTAAATCTACAGAGACAAAGCACAAATCAGTGGCTCCCTGGGGCTGGGGGTGAAAATAAGGGTTAACTACAGACAGTCTAGAGAGAAATTTTGGAGGACAGAAATGTTCTAAAACTGGCTTGTGGTGCCCAGTCGGTATGGCTCAGTGGTTGAGCATCGACTTATTAACCAGGAGGTCATGGCTAAATTCCTAATCAGGGCACATGCCTGGATTTTGGGCTCAATTCCTGGTGCAGGAGGCAGCCGATCAATGATTCTCTCTCATCATTGATGTTTCTATCTCTCTCTCCCTCTCCCTTCCTCTCTGAAATCAATAAAAAATATGTTTAAAATAAATAAATAAAACTGGCTTGTGGTTTGACACTTCCATTTACTAAAAATCACTGAATGTGCACTCGAAATAAATTAATTTTGGAATTAAATAACTCAAAAAAGCTGATTTTTTAAAAATGCACATACCCAACAGAAATGAAAAAACGTTCAAACAAAAATTTGTACACAAATGTCCATAGCAGCATTATTCACAATAGCTAAAAAATGGAAACTCAAAAGTTCACCAACTAATTAATAACGTGGTATATCCATACAATGGAATATTACTCGGCAATAGAAAAAATGAAATGACACATGCTACAACATGGATGCACTTTGAAAACATGGTGTTAAGTGAAAGAAACCAATCACTGAAGATCACATATTACATGATTCATTTATATAAAATGCCCAGGAACAGGCAAATACACAGAAAGTAGATCAGTGGTGCCTAGGCCTGGGGATGTTGGGGGAAACCTGAATGTGACTGTTAAATGGGTATGTGGTTCCTTTCTAGGATGATGAAAACATTCTAAAATTGATTATGGTGACAGCTGGCATAACTTTATAAATATATTAGAAAACACTTAACTGTCCTGGCCAGGTGGCTATTGGTTGGAGCATTGTACCATACACCAAAAGGTTGTGGGTTCAAGTCCCTGTCAGGGCACATACCTAGGTTTCCAGTTCCATCCCTGGTCTGGGCATGAAGGAGAAGCAACTAATTGATATTTCTCCTCTCTATATCTCTATCTCTCTTTCATTCCCCTCTCTCTAAATCAATCATATCCTCAGATAAGAATTTAAAAGAAAAACCCCCACTAAACTGTACATTTTAAATTGGTGAACTAAATGGTATATGAATTACCTATAATAATAAAAGCGTAATATGCTAATTAGACCAGGCAGCCGAACAACCTTCCGGATGTCCTTCTGGACAAAGTCACAGTGGCGGGGAGGCAGAGGCCGTTAGGGGCAATCAGATAGGAAGGCAGAGGTGGTTAGGGGTGATCAGGCAGGCGAGATAGGAGCCAGCGGTGGGGGATTGTGAGAGAATGCAGGTGGGGCTAAGGGACCCCCCCCAAAGTACAACCCCCCCAAGTATTTCGAGCACCAGGCCTCTAGTATCTCAATAAAGCTGTTACCAAAACACACACACACACACACACACACACACACACACTTGTGCAATCTGTGAGCGGGTAAAGGCCATCAACACAGTTACCAATCTATTAACTTAGGATAGAAAAATCTCAAAGTTACAAATTCTTTCCAATGAAACTCTGATTTTTTTTTTAGTATACTATTATATGTCTGAAATGAGAAGCAATGATTGATCAATTAATTAAGTCACTACGTTTAAAAACAGGTTGACATTAAATATTCAAATTTCAGATGCCCAAGATATTTCAACTTTCTACTTCATGTGTTTGCTAGGTGACACCTCAGTAACACTCATATGAATGCACTGTGTAAACTGTGTTGCACTGTCTATAAACTTTAATTATTCCTAAATTCCTTTAAGCGTAACTTAACAGCTTCCAGTTTTATATAGTCTTGAAAGGAAGAAACTCTGAAACAAAAACATCCAATCTTATCTTAGTAAAGGGTACATACATTATCCGGTGATTCTGGCACCAGAGAAAGTGCTTAATTTACCTCTCCATAGAGGCTCACTTATAGATAAAAAGGAAAGTAAATCTGATTACCAAACACACGAGCACTGTTCTCTCATCACCGGATTAAAATTTAAACCACACAGCTGAAGTACATGTTCATGATCACAGGAGAGGAGGAAAATTCTAGTTTTACAATGAAGTGTCCCCTCATTTACTTTAATGAAGTACTAAAAACTTGAAGGCTAGTCTGCAGCGAATCTAGAAAAAAAAAAAAGGGCCTGGGATACTGGCCCACGAGAAACAAGCCGAAACTGAGCAATCTGGATTCCTCTGGGTGTGTTAGAATATTTTCTCCGTCCTTTGCTGACATGCAATAAAATTGCCCAACTGGAGCAAGAGAGGGGGCTCGGGGCCCCCTGCAGAAGCCTCCCCGCGCTTCTTCTCCCGCGGCCCCCCCAAAACGGCCCGTAGCCCGGTCCCCAAGGGCCAGCTTCGCGGAGAGAGGATCCAGAAGGCGCGCGTAGTACAGAGCCCGTTCCTGTTTTGTTTAAAAACAGATTCCAAACAGAGACAAGCCTCCCTCGCCCCGGGGAGTAGGGGAAGTGGCGGCAGGGGGCCGGCGAGGAGCGCGAGGATAAAAGAATGGCCGAGGACAACCTGCCGCGCGCGCCAGCCGCCAGGGAAGGATAGGTGAGAGGCGGCGGCCCGGCCCCGGCTCGGCTCGGCTGGGGAGGGCACTGCCCGCCGGCCCGCCACGCCACCCCGAGCCGCCCGAGCCTCCCAGGTCCCGCCCCGAGCTGGCCGCCCTGCCCAGGCGCCGGCCGCAGCCTCCCGCCCGACCGGACCCTCCCAGGACGCGCTTCCTCCTGAGCCGGACCCCCGCCCTGGCCTCCCCGCGGGGGAAGGCGGGTCAGTCCAGCCCGCTTCTCGGCAGAGGTGACTCGCGCGGAGATGTAAACACTGCGAGCCCAGCTGCGCGCGGCCCATCCCCCCCGCCGGGGTCCGTAACCTCTCCCTCCGCCCGGCCCCGCGCCCCGCACTCCCCGCGGGCTGCGCGCAGCGCGCCTTCCCCTTTCTCCGACTCCCGCTCCCCGACCGTTGCCCGAGGGCACCGGCCCCCTTCCCCCGCTCCCCGCGGGTGTCACGGCCACAGCCTCTGGAAAACCCCTCCGCAAACCCCGGAGCAAACAACACAGGCGCGGGGCGGGAGGCGCGGAGGGAGGCGGCGGCACTCGGGACAGCGATACTCCGTCGCCGCGCCCTCCGCGCTCCCTCCCGCAGCCTCGGCTGCTCGCGCTCTTACCTGCTCGCCGCGTCGCCCGGCAAGACGGCGGCGTCGCTTTCCCTCCCGGCAGGGCCGCGGACTCGCCGCCGCCGCCGCCGTTGGCCGGGCGTCCGGAGGGAGCCGGGCCTCCCCGGCAGCCCGAGCCGCTCCGCTGGGAGAGGAGGAGACAAAACAGCGCGCGCCTCCCCGCGCAGCGCCCCCCGCCCGCACCGCCCCACCGACCCCCAACCGCCGAGGCGACCACGGCGACACAGAGCCCGGCGCGGGGAGCAATGGTGGCCCCCGCCCTCGCCCCGTTCCCCTCCCTCCACCCCCCGCTCGGCTCCTCCCCCTCGGCCTCCTGCCGCCGCCACCAGGACACTTGAGTCCGCCTCCCCCACCCCGCCCGCTCCGAGCGCTCCTCCCCTCCCCGAGCGGCGAGGGGGGGGCGGCACCGCCAGTCACCGCAGCGCCTGTCAAAGCGGGGCCGGCTATTTATACCCCGCGCGGCCCGCCGCCCGCGGCCCCCATCAGCCGGCCAAACCTGCCTCCGTGGCTCTCTCGGGTCTCTCCCGCCCCTGATCCCCCAACTTCTCCCTAACCCGCCTTCTCAGGTAATGACTCTCCCCACGTGTCCCGCGCCCTGCTCGGAGCTCCCCCATCCCCTTCCCGGACTGGCGCAGAGGCGGCGAGGCCGCGCGTGCACCTGCAGCGCCCGCCCGCTTCCCCCGCCGGCCGGCCCGCACGCACACACGCGCTCCACTCCGAGCGCCCTCGCGGGCCCCGGCGGGCACCCCATCCCCGGCGCTGGACTCTCGCCCCTCTGCTCCAGGACGGCCCCGCGCTAGGGCCGTCTGACAGTTACTGGGGGCCGGGGTTGGGAGTCTAGCCCGCGCCCTCCCGACTCCACTTCTCAGCCAGGCTAAGTGGAAGGTGGGGGCGCGGGCGGGGAGCGGCGCACCGCCCTCTCCGCCCCGGCCCCGCCCCGGCCGCTGACGCCCGCGGCGCACCGCCCAGCCCGCCGCGCGCCCCTCGGCGCCGCCCGCTCCTCCTCCCTGTCCGGCTTCGTACACCCGCGGACCCCGCCCCGTTCCCAGAAATTACCACCCGCCCAACGGCCGGGCGGCGCGGCGGTTGGTGCCCGCGTTTGCTGACGGGCGGGCGGCGGGGGCTCAGCGCGCAGCTGCGGAGCGAGGCGGACAGCCCCTTGGCGCGGCTCCCGGAGCTGCAGGCGCCCGCACCGAGCCTTTGTCGCTCCTCGCTCCGTCAGCGACGGAGAAGTAACTCCAGTACGAGTATTGTTGGTGCGAGCACGCGGGAGTGTATTGGTGCGGGGGTATTTGGGTCCAAGCGCCTACAATTCGAAAACGAAAGGCCAGCAGTTAGCTGCACGCTTTTGGTTTCCCCACTTTCACACAAAGGGGAACCCTCTGAGCAAGGCACTCTCAGGCGCCTTCAAGTGCACAAAGCCAATGACACGGTGCCCTGGGTTGTCCTGCGTTCGAAGCGCCTCATTAAAGACCTTTCGTATGCACAGTTACGCATGCAAACGCCTCAATCTATTCCCACCACCACCACATTTCTCAGCCGCAGCATCTTCTGGTTCGGTATTTGCTTCTTTAACAAAGAGCTGTGCCTGCCCCGTGCGCGTGGGGACTGATTCTATCCCCCTCGGGCTCCTGCAGCTGCACTCGGATGGACCTGGCGCGGTATCCACCAGGTTCATTTCTGGACACCAGCTTTACTCTTTTTGCTGCTCCACAACCAGTCTTGAGCGAAGAAGAAACCCTGAGGAATGTAAGTGGTAGCTCTTCTTGGAAGTAACGTGGGAACCATGGAAATAACCCTAGAATGGGGCTCAAATATCGGAGAACCACAGGAGGCCCCGCCGATTTAAGTCCCAGAAGAAGCTAGGAATTCAATTATCTCCTCTTTCTTTTTTAAAGCTAGTAATACCTCTCTTTATTGGAGGGAGGGGTATGATCCTTCCTTTCTATCTTAAAAAGCAAAGCTGTGGACTTTTTTCTTAATAAAGGGACTTTTACTTTTAAACAAAGGGGAAACCCAGGTAGCAAAGAGGGTTAGTAAAAAAGATCCTCTTAACTCTAATGAAGTTTTATGGAGATTCCTGAGTTCTAAAACATGATAAGTCTTGGCACCCCTTTAAACTAAAGAATTTATAAAGCCTTTTAACATTCAAATTGTTAATACACAGTAAACAGGATACCACAAGCACAGCATCCTTTCTAGGGAAGTATTTCTATTCCCCTACTTCCTGTGAAATACCCTATCACTTGTGGCAACCATTGTCCACTTTGGTGTTTGAAGGAATTAATACTACTGCATCTCCATGACAAAAACATGGCATATTAAGGAGCTTGCAAGGACAAAGCCTAATTCTTAGAGTTAGGAACAGATCTCACCTGCAAGGTCAAATCATTCCTGCTGTCAAAATAGACCCAGAGACATAGAAGCATGAACAGACTGTTGAACCTCAGAGGGAAGGCAGGGGAGGGTGGGTAGGGAGAGATCAACCAATGAACTTGTATGCGTATATGCATAACCCGTGGACACAGACAATGGGTGGTGAAGGGGGAGGAGCGTGCTGGAAGAGGTTAATGGGGGAAAGGAAAAGGAGGACCTATGGCATACTTTCAACAATAAATATTTTTTTAAAAATCATTCCTGTTGTCAGCCACCATTAGAAGAAATATATTTTCCCCACTGCCAATTGGAAGTAAGCTGAAAGGTCCCAGGTGGGTAACCTTGCTAGATAACATTATCCTTCCCAATTCTTCACTGCTCCAGGCATGTGTGACTTTTGAAATGTGGCTTTATAGTTCCTCTCATTAGAGATAGAATGTTTCTCCACCTCATTGATGTGTGGTTAGGTCATTCCACCTGCTCTTGGCCAAAAGAATATGCACAGAAGTGACAATGTGACAGTTCTGAGACTGACATTATTTAATAGGTATTGCATGTTTCCACTTGCCTCTCTCCACACCTGCCTTTCACAATGTGAAGAACATGCCTGGCCCAAGAAAAATGAGAGGCATGGAGCAGGTTTAGAACCATCCTCTAGCTTGGAGCCAGTGACCTACAGAAAAGAATTGCTGTTTTAAGCAGTATGTTTTGAGGTGGTTTGCTACCCAGAATTAGTGTTGCAGTCGTTGACTGATACAATAGGAGACAGAGGAATCTGCTCTCTTGGTATTGGCCTTGAAGTTGCCAAGCTTGATATCTCTAAGGCAGCTCTTTGATAGCAGGTCTTAGAAAGACACATCTCTTATGGAAGCTGGCCAAGGAAGAAACCCAGAAAGTTTGCAGCATAGCATTCTAAAGTGTCAGGTTCCGTAGGAAAGGGCTGACGTGGCCAGCAGTCCTGGAAACATGCTCATATAATAGGAGGTATCTACATAACTAGATTGCTGTTACTCCTGGGTTTTGTTGTGTGTGTGTGTGTGTGTTTTTAAACAAGAAGTTTATTTAAACAACAAGACACTGGACTTGAAGGGAAAACTAGGATTCATTTTTTTAGACTAATTTATCCCTACTTAAAGACAGATTGCCCTACATGTAACAGCTACATAAAAAAAAGTTACAAAATTGTCCTTGGTTTTACAATGATAAATGAAAAACATCAAAATTCTACAATCAAACAAGGTATGCAAGAATTTTTATGTTGTTCTTTTTTTTGTTAAACAGTAAGAGCAAAATAACTTACTGGAATGTAAAGATAAGAGCTGAATGAGCATGCCACTAATGGAGTGAGGGGGTGTTTTCACCGAACCAGTATTTTTTCCCCATCCCATCTCCATTTGATGTAGATGGAAACATACCATTGGCCATTTAGTTTAAAAAAATGCAAATGCTTGTGCACATACATTAGTTACTTTATGTACCATAAAGGAATGGGGAAGGGGGAAATGAAAGAACAGAGAAAAACTATACTGTAGTAGTCAGATGTGTGGAAACCAAATTGTAGTTTTCTAATTGAGAATGTCTTCTTGGTCTGGAGGAACAGAGTTCTGGAGTAAAGTAGCAGGTTCCCTTTTTAGTAGACACCTCCTGTCTGCTGCTGGAACACATCCGTTGTATCTTCATCCTCCATTTCCAACTGTGCAGGTGTGTCTGTTTCATTGATTGGCTGCCCCTCAAGTCGGAATTTGATCTGCTTCATTGACAAACCCTGTCGTTCACAATAGGCTTTCCTTAGTTTATTAAGTGGTGTGTGCCTCTTAATCTTAAACTGCACCCCAGAACCATCCTGCCCCGCCACCTTCAAATTAATATGATCATTGTTCTCAGTCTTGACTCCTTCCTTGGGCTTTTCGTTGGCCATGGCGAGGGCCGGAGTCTTCTCAGCTGCCGCTTCACAAAAGGGGTCGCAGGTCCACACCAAACGAGCACACCCGCAGCCCCAGGAGCGGCAGAAGGAGCTGGGTTTTTTTATATTGTACAATTTATTTTAATTATACAGTGGTTCATTAATGTACCCTTATCAATTTTCAAATAATACAAAATAGAATTTTTTATAAACCAAGTCTCCTTCCCTTCTCTACTCTCCTGTCTACTCCTCACCCTCCATACATACCAGCCACTCCATACCCTACTCTTTCACAGCTAACCTTAAATGATAGATGAGCACTTCAGCTTCCAGATTCTTTTCCTGTGCATTTATATACTTATGCATGCATTTATAGGGACTAAATATAAATGAGATTATATAACGTGTATTAGGCAGAATGCTTTCTTTAAAAGGTTTTTGTTGATTTTAAAGAGAGGGGAAGGGAGAGGGAGAGATAGAAACATCTGTGAGAGAAACAATCCCTTTTGGGGTATTGAGCCCACAACCCAGGCATGTGCCCTGACTGGGAATTGAACCAGTGACTTCTTGGTACATGGAATGATGTGCAAATAGCTGAGCCACACCAGCTGGGCTAGGCAGAATACTTTTGTACTTCTTGATTGTTTATTTCCCCCTTTGATTTCTCTAATTATCTAAGACAAGCTTTTTAAAATTTCAGTCTGTCTTCAGTAAGATAGGCTAACCAAGGGAAGAGGTTTTCCTGCTTTTATATCATATTTGAATATGTTAAAATGGGAAGAGGACCCTTTAGGGCCCAGTTTAGGGATGGGAGTGATAATCAACGTGAGGAACAAGAAGACTAACTTCCCTGTGTGGTAGCCAGGGAATCATGTGCCCCTCCCAAACTGGAAATGCTCTGTCTTGGGCTAATCTTTGGAAGTTCTCAAAGTGAATAGTCCAAGAGAACAAGGGGAAGCTGTGCTACCCTTTCTGACCTGGCCTCTGGAGTCACAGCCATCACTGTGCCACATTCTATTGGTCATGCAAATCAGTCCCAATTCCGTGAGAGGTGACGCTGCACAAGGACATAAATACTAGTAGAAGATGAAGACCACTAGGACCCGTGTTGGCAACTGACCGCCACAGGAGCATCCAAAGTAGTGAATTTTGAATAACTGACACAATCTTTAAATTTGTTAGATTCCTTCACTACAGGTGGGCAAATCCCCAGGTTACCAACAACTACGTAACTTCAACCTCGTAACTTCGCAAGAGCAACCAGAAAAATCTCTTCTTTTGCCTCTCCTTAAAGAACCTGTGGTTTCAGGCAACTGCCCAATTATATTCTGGTGTTAGCTGACCTCATTTGTGAGCCACGGTATCCATCCCTCCCACTGCCCCTTTCTGGACTTCTATAACGATGATTATTCATAACTCTCCTATACTCTGGTTAGCAAAGGAAGCTAATCCCCAAACTCACTTTTGATTTTATGTATCAGATTGCCTTTTATGAATCAGAATCTCTTAAGCATTGTATATTAAGCAAGCCAGCCTTAAAGAATGATCAAAACCAAAATAATTTAGGGGGACATGTTAAGTTCCCAGAATACAATGAAACAATTCTTAAGAATGGCATTTGTGCCATCAAATGCAATCAGGTCAAATAAGCAAAAAATATGTTTTGACTATAGAAGGGAAATTGAATCCTCATGAGTTGCATGTGTCATTTTACAGTGTAATATTTCTATTAAAGTAAATGCTTAAAGTCATCTCATAATTTTAGTTTTTTTAATATGTTTTATTGATTTTTTACAGAGAGGAAGGGAGAGAGATAGAGAGTTAGAAACATCGATGAGAGAGAAACATCGATCAGCTGCCTCCTGCACACCTCCCACTGGGGATTTGCCTGCAACCCAGGTACATGCCCTTGACCGGAATCAAACCTGGGACCCTTCAGTCCGCAGGCTGACGCTTTATCCACTGAGCCAAACCGGTTTCGGCATAATTTTAGTTCTTGATATATTTTTAAAGCAACCTTCCCTTTAAAATAGTACTTTAGTTGGAGGCATTTTATTAATTCTATCCACAAGTAAATTAAAGCACATTTTATTGCTTTATTAAAATATTTGAAGTGTTTAAGATGGATTACTCTTTATTCTAATTAGAATTTATAATTTTTTCAATGTTAAAACTAATTTTTGTCAGCAGAATTTGCCTCCTTTATTATAAAGTTAAAAGTCCAAATGAAATGTACAAGAAGACATTTTATTAGTGATTTAAGACTGTATTAATCTTTAAAGTTTCCGAATAAAATTGATTCCTTAATAAAATTCAGGATAAATGCTATAGTAGTTAATTAAAACACAAAGATAAATATCTTTCATGGGGAAAGATCTGAAATAAATTTTCTTATTTGTGAGCTAACTAATTTTCAAGGGCATTTAGCTCTGTTTCTTCCATGCTACCAAGTTAAAATGAGTTAATAGAATTTTAAATTGTATTTCCTAGATTGCCTTAAAGATTAGAAAAAAACAAACCAAAGACTTGTTTTCCCCATTATTTATCTGCTTTCTTCTCAGGAGGTTTTTCTTATTGGCGAGCTAATCAGAGTGGGTGGCATTGTTTCAATTAAACTAAATAATAACAGCCATAAAAACAATAATACTGGCCACTATAAGTACACTACTAGATACTAATTAATTCCGTTCATTAATCTTATGAAGTTCCATATAATTATCTCCATCTTTATATTGAAGTTCATGTTGATGGTAAAAGACAAGGAACTTTTTTTTTTTAATATATTTTATTGATTTTTTACAGAGAGAAAGGGAGAGAGATAGAGAGTTAGAAACATCGATCAGCTGCCTCCTGCACATCTCCCACCGGGGATGTGCCCGCAACCCAGGTACATGCCCTTGACCGGAATCGAACCCGGCACCCTTCAGTCCGCAGGCCGACGCTCTATCCACTGAGCCAAACCGGTTTCGGCGACAAGGAACTTTTTTGAAGTTACACAGTAGACGGTGGAGTTTAAGATTGAATCCTTTGTCAGAGCCTGTGCTTTTAACCACTAGCACTTTCTAAATGCAGCCTTGTTTTAACTGTTCTTGTCCAAACATCAGGGATGAAAAGTATTGCTTCCTGCAACAGGCTTGACACCAGCCTCAGGTCCTGGTCCCCCAGATTCATAGGTCACTGCTGCCACTTTGCAACCCTAGTCACCTCTGTTTGGCATCCCTGTTCTGCCTAGCATAGCAGGCACCACCCAGATGGTTGATGTCTCTGGCCATGTTCCCTATCTCTCTCTTTCCAGACCCTCTCTTCTTCCCTGGTTATCAACATATTCCCTCTACCCCAGCCTGTGGCTCCTGCATCCTGTTCTTCTTGTCTGCCGCACCATATCTGAGTATACTTTCTATATCTGCTGATGACAGACTGCTAAGCAAAAAGAGAGAGAAATTTAAGGCCAGGATAAGAAAGCCAATCAATATGGAGGATAAAAAGGCCACAGGAAGACCATAATTAAAATGTTAATTCCAGGCAGAAAAGGATGAGCTGAGAGTATTAAAATACTGTGAATCTACATTGCTAGCTACATGAAAGACTGTTAACTTCCCAAATGTAAAGAACAGGGAGGGGGTGGAGGGAGGAAGTTCCATGGTTAAAATTAATATTCAGGCCCTAACCGGTTTGGCTCAGTGGCTAGAGCGTCAGCCTGTGGACTCAAGGGTCCCAGATTCTATTCCAGTCAAGGGCATGTACCTCGATTGAGGGCACATCCCCAGTAGGGGGTGTGCAGGAGGCAGCTGATAGATGTTTCTCTCTCACCGATGTTTCTAACTCTCTATCCCTCTCCCTTCCTCTTTGTAAAAAAATCAATAAAATATATATTTTTTTAAAAAATTAATATTCAAGAGTCCATGAAGAGGTATAGTAATATAGTACAGGTATACCTGCATTTATGTTACATGTCGTCAGAGGCCTAAGTATCAACAACATGCTTTTGAAATTTAGCATCATCTTAAACAGTGTTGATTGAATGTGTACTTTCTTTTTACCTTTTCTTTTAATCCTCATAATAACCTGTGAACAAAAAGGGGCCACATGCTAACCTAACTAGCTCAGGGGAGGCCTGCGTGGCGGGCGGCCTTGCAAACTCAGAGACCTAAAGTAACCACAAAGGATGGTCTGAAATGAAAACTTTTTAACTAAAAGCAGTTTACTAGTATGGTAGGTACTCATGTCCTAGGCTGGTATCTTCCCTGACAAAGGTCAGTCTTTACCTTAACTGAGCCTGTCTACTGTCTTTTTGCATCAATGATAACATATCATTGGTATGTCAAAGTAATTTTTCTTTTTCCGCACTCCTCAAAGCACAGGCACCAGTCTGCGGAGACCACAAACCCCCTCATTCTCACTGAGTTCATTGTTGACTGTTCACTGTCCTATGCCCACCTATGTAAAAGAAGTATATGTTTATCATTTTACTTTTTATCCAATCTCAGAGGTTCCCCTGCTTTGCTTCCTAATCTATCACCAATGGGTTTCATGTAACCCACTTACATCGACAGTTTGGGCTCAAATAAACTCACACAAACTCTTCACAGGTTTGAATGTTTCCAACATTGAAAAACCCAGTCAGGAAGGTATTGTCGTTGCTGGCTCCAGACTGTGCTCTTTTTTTTTTTTAAATGTATTTTATTGATTTTTTACAGAGAGGAAGGGAGAGGGATAGAGAGCTAGAAACATCTATCAGCTGCCTCCCGCACACTCCCCACTGGGTATGTGCTCGCAGCCAAGGTACATGCCCTTGACCGGAATCGAACCCGGGACCCTTGAGTCCGCAGGCCGATGCTCTATCCACTGAGCCAAACTGGTCAGGGCCCAGACTGTGCTCTTCACAGGCTGCTCAGCTTCCTCCTGCTCCTTCTCACTGTGGCCTCCAGGGTTGACGTTTTCAGGCTTTAATATTTTTAATTTGCCATTAGCCCAAAGAGTCAGTCCTTCAATCAAGATAAGACTTGTGCAGTGAG